GAAAATCATGTGCATTTTTGCTATCACGCACGTACTTACACCCACTCACGCTCACGTACCCACATACCCAACCACCCACTCGCCCACTCACCCGCTCACCCATTGCCTCACCCACCTACTCACACTCACGCGCCCACCCACCCACTCGACTCATTCACTCAGTGACTGCTTGCTCGCTCTCAACGTTGCATTCCTTCAACCAATCGTTCACTGTCATTCACTCATTCATTCACGCACTCACCCACCCACCCACCCACTCACTCACTCACGTGCAGTTTTCGTGTTCCCTTTTAATTGCTAGGCCTGCATAAGAAACCCCTTTAGGGCGCAGCCGGGTGGGAAGGCAACCTGGGTGGCCCACGTTGCAATCGCAGTGAACCGAAATCGTCCATCATACGGAACCACTCATCACCATCACCAATTACAAGCGTCCAGCAACCAAGTCGCCGTGTGAGTGAGTGCCGGGCGCCAGAGAGTGTGGTAGGGAGCAACCACGCAACCGTTGAAGAACGCTTGTTGAAGAACGCTTGTAATCAGAGAAATCGTGTTGAAGAACGCTTGTTGCAAGCAAGGCCTTGCGCACTGCCCAGCCCGCGCAGTAAGCTGCGAGGAAACCCGCGCAGCCGAGCTGAGGTCCAAGCCACTCATAGCGGCTAAAAGGCTTGCAGCAGCCTGCGCGCACGCGAGACCTTCGGGCGTCGAGCCGCCCAAGCACTGAGCCAGCGTGTCCCACAAAGCTGCGTCGCGCGCCGCGGCATAAGGCGCCGCCAGGGAAGAAGCGCGGGTCGCCAAGCTCAGCTCCCCGACGTCCAGCTTACAAGAAGAGGAGGCGGCCCGCGCTCAGCTGCAAGTGGCGAAGCCTGTTGGACGGAACGCGCCCCCAGCGCAACGACCAGACTGCAAGCCTTGGGGACTGGCCGCGCAGCTGGAAATTCCATGCGTCGCGAATACGCCACTCACACTAGCGGAGTTGCGTGCTGTTGCCATCCTTGCCGCTGTTTTTCGAGGCGTTGCTCCGGTCCCAGGCTAGGGCCCCGGCTGGAGCCTCGCTGACGGCCATCCCGGCTGACGCAATTACCGCGCCGACACTGGGCGGCGCCGCGTCGACGCGGCTGCCCCTGCCCATTGCTTCAGGCTCGCACACACCACGGCTGCGAGCGTACGTGCGTGATGGGCAACGCTTTGGAACCGGTCTATGGCGTTCCCCTCGGGTCCTCATCCCCGGGCGTGGAAGCAGGACGGGGGCGGCTCAGGGGCCACAGCGCCACGTGGTCTTCGGCTCGGAGATTGGTGGGTGCTGGAGTGATGGCGCCCTGGGGCTTACGGGTCCCGCAGCCGTGCGCAGGCCTGCGGCTCACGGTTGGCAACGACGGTGGCTGGCGCAGTTTTCGGTCGCGGTGCCGCAGGCCGTTGGGTTTGCTTGAGCGGTTGCTTTGCCTTGCAGCAAAAGCTGGCGCGAACCGCTTGCCCCC